ATCAGATTCGAGCCTCCCACGGCCTCTGCCGGCCCTCCACCCACCATGCACCCCGCCCACAGACACATCGACACCTGAGCACCAGTGGGGCTCACACACTGAGCGCGTGCCTGCTGTCCTGCCCCTACAGCTGCTGAACCCCAGCTCACTGTACAGAGCCCAGCACCCCGGCCGGGGCAGCAGCTCTGCCAAGGCAGGAGCTTGGTCTGGTAGCCCCTGAGACCCCACAGCCTGCTGTAGTACCCAGCACAAAGTGGATGCTCAATGCATGTGTGGATCAGTGACTCAAAGGCCAGCAATACTCAGCCCGAGATGAAAAATAAAGAGGAGAGAAGGAACAAACGCACCAACAGTCACAGAATACATGCAGGGGGTCGAGATGCACTCCAACATGTTCCGATCGTTGAGTCCAAGACACACACACACACACACACACACACACACACACCCCAGGCCTATGACAACATCCTAAACCCTGAGCAGCGAAGGGCTCAGCACGGATTAGCCGTCTACAGAGGCCGGTGACAGACACTCCCACAGACAGGCCCTGGGAGAGGGGCAGTGCGCCGGCCGGCTGCCCACAGAGCTGGCACCCAGTGAGCTTCTGCTCGGGACCCTGCACCTGTCAGCAGCTTTACTTTCAGCAACACACATGCAAAGAGAGCAAACAGTACTCAGTTTTCACCACAAAAGGCGTTCAGGAGCGCCCGGCCACTTGTCCAGTCCCAAAGCCAATCAGAGGACCCCAGCACCCATGTCCTCTCTGTCATGCTTCACAGGGTGTTGCGTGGGACAAGCAGTCTAACCCAGGAGGATGTAGGAACCTCGAGGCCCAGGAAGGCCCTGGGTGACAGCAGGAGGGAGGAGCTGAAGAGTCTCCTCATTCTGTCCCGTTTGGCAGCATGCAAGGAATGAGCTTGCCCGACTTCCCCGTCCAGGACCAAAGGCTTGCTTAGGTGCCATATGGCGAAAGTGAGAGAGACACCAAAGGGGCGATCTGTGAGCTGGGGAGGGAAGCAGTGAGGGTTGGCTGCTCTGAATCCCAGCACACAAAGCTTGACCACATCAGCCGAAATGTCCCTCTCAGCCAGCCCTGCTCTTCCAGGGTGCTGACACCCTCAGCAGCCCCACTGCCCTCCACGCCCTGGAGCCCCTTACCTGAGCCCCACACCTGTCCCTTCTCCTTCCCAGCAAGCTGCCCCTCTGCTCCCTCACACACAGGGCAGTGTGCCTGGCTCAGGCCCTGCCGCGGGCCAGCAGTCTATACACAGGGCGTCCGGGCCTGCAGTCTCAGGAAGGGCCTACTTGCCCGAGTCAATGCCCACACAGCAGGCCAGGGCAAGGTGCAGGAGGCCTCTCTACTGGGCCATGAACCATGGACAGAAAAAACGAAGACGCTAATCCGAGGCCCGGATAATCCAGAGGGAAGAGGCCCTGTGCAGGAGGGGGAGAAGAAGACAACAAGACAACCTAAGGTGGAGGTGTGGAGGGCTGGGAAGAGGCCTCAGACACTTGGGAAGGAGGGGAACACCAAGATGGGGCAGAAGACAGGCCTGTGGGCGCAGGGCAGCAGCTTTGGGCTGGGGCCTGGGAAGGGCGAGAGGCCCATGCACACTGAGGCCCTTCTGCTCCCCACAGGACAGGCCCCTGTGCACCCAACTGTCAGTATAGTGTGAACACTTCAAGGACAGACTGTGTGCAGGCCCAGCCCCTACTGTGAGGCTGACATGTCTGCTACAGGGAGGACTATGATGAGGAACGTGGTGCGGCCGAGGCACAGTCTCACAATCCTATAAATAACCACTCCGCCCCTTCCCTCAGGGAGCATCTGCTTGGCCGGGCAGCACTCCGCTGTGCCTGACAGCCTTGGTCCCTCCCACTCCCAGCTGGTGCTCCCTGCTGTCCACCCTGCACCCCTCCTGAAGTGCTCAGGGCTGGTCATCCACCAGGGGCACGTGGAGTGCACACTCCCCACCTGACAGCCTTCTGTATCCTCACTGGCTGAGCTCCAAGAACAGCCTCCTCGTGTGCTCCCCAAGAGGACCCCTGGGTGGGCCACAGACCTTCAGAGGCCAGCAGGCCAGATTCCACCCCCACCCCAGCTGTCCTCCCCAGCCACCCCATCCCCCAAGGGGACAGCCCGCCAACCTCTAATCCTCCGTCATCTGACCCAGGGTCCGCCCTAAATTGGCTTTGCCCAGCCACCCTTCTGAGGCCCAAAAATGGACACAGTCATTTATAGAGGGTCCGACCAGCCAAATGCAATGGGAAGATGACCTCATGGTGCCCACAGGCCTGCGCTCCAGGCACGAACTCTGCACCTCCAGCACACTGGGGATGTGTGGGCAGTGGGGAGGGGTAGGCTGAGACCTTACAAGAATAAACTCCATGCAGGACAAAGTACAGGCATCCAGTCTGAGACAGCACTGGGGGCTCAACCTAGGACACTGTACCTGGCTTATATCCACAAAGGATTTAATGAGGGAGAGATGGCACAGTGGTTACAGACAAATCAGCCCCCCTAAGCCCAAGTCAGGGCTCTCAGCCAAGGCCCCCAGGTGCTTCATTAGTTCATAAGTATTCACAGGGCCAGAAGAGTGCCAAAGTATGTACACAAAGACATGTGCACAGGGCTAGCGAGATAGCTCAGTGGACTATGCGCCTCTTAGGCAAGCACAGGGACCCAAGTTCAATCCCCTGGCACACATGAGCTGGCTACTGAGATCAGGCCTAGTGGTGCACGCCTGTAATCCCAGTGCTGGGGAAGCTGAAAACAGGTGGATCACTACAAGTGCCGAGCTGTGTAGTGAGAACCCATACCAAATATATTTAAAAAAAGTTATGTGTGTGCCTGCCAGACCAGCCATGGAGGCTGATGAATCAGTGGATGACAACAGCCCAGGATCCAGGGAGGCTGATGTAGGTCAGCTTTCCTCATGAGCCCCGCAGAGCCCCTGGCACAGAGGGCAGGCCGCCCTTGACCATGCTGTTACCCTCTGAGGCTTAAGGGATGTCTGCACTGAAAGGGATGCAGAAAAGCAGGGAAAGAAGAAAAGATGAGCAGTCAGGACCTTCCACCACAGTTACTGCTGCTCATGGTCAGAAAATACCCTCCCATGACAACAGGGAGAGAGCAATGGTCCCCTTATCCAGACTGACCAAGGCAGTGGGCACAGTGGCAGGCTGCTTGTACCACAGTAGGACTGAGCTCGACGAGTCCTGAACATGACCAGAAGATGCTGAGGAAGCAGCCCTCTGGGCAGCATGCAGACTGTGACAAATGCAGATTCTGAGTGGCAGGCGGCACACAGAAGAGGCTGGAGCAGAGCAACTTCCTGAAAGCGGAGCCTGCGGCCACCCAAGAAAGGAAGACCTGAAAGGTTACTTTCAGAGACAGCCAGGATGCCTGGCACATGCTGCCTTGGCTTCTGACCGGGCAGGGTCCCTAACTGGTACCCACTGGGCAGAGAGCAGCTGTGGCACTAAGCAACTGCGGGCCCAGGCGGAGCACAGCCAGCATCCAGAGTCCACCAGCTGTCGGCCAACTGGCCAAGGCCACAGAACAGAGGCCAGGAATAAATGGACTCTCGCAAGAAGGGAACAAACCCCATGCCTGTTGCCCCTACAGTAATGCCGAAAACGCTGCCACAGGGCAAAGGGGACAAGGAGGAGCAATGGGGAGGCAGGGAGAAGTCCGACGTAGGGAAGAGGGACTTGTCTCAATGGCCCTGTAGTTCTCCTGCAGCCCCTTGGGAGACCAATCCAGACTCCAGCCCAGGGCTGCCTGCTCCAAGCACTTAGATGGATTACCCTGCCACAGGGGAGGGAGAGAAGGAGGGAGGGAGAGCAAGGGCGGACGCATCTGCTGCTGCCCCTCCAACTGGGTGACTGAAGTCGCCCCAGCCCCCAGCCAGCTATTCCTGGGACACTATTCCCTCCTCCTGCTGGGGGAGGGGAGAGGTCTGACCAGATCTGGCGCTCCGCGGAGAGCTCTCCACTCCGCACACACCCACCTCCCAGGCCAAGAACGCTGGGGTGAGCAGTAGGGCTCCAAAGGAGTCGCAGGGAAAGCCCTCCTACCGTCATCACGTGGCCGCATCCTTAGGGAGCCCGAGATCTCAGCTGCAAAAGTCACTGTTTATAAACAGCCACAGGGGCGGCAGGGGAAGGCCTGCCTGTCCCCCAGCCCCACCACAGGACACTGGGGGAACTACCCTAGCAGAAACACAGATTCTGCAATCTCAGATTTCAGAGTAGGAATCGGCAGGGGAAGTGGCGTCAGCAGCAGCTGGCGTGATCCAATTCAATCAAGCAGAGACAGCTTGGGATAAAAGGCCTTCGGGGCGGGACCCCCGCCCCCAATCCTTGCATTTCCTGCATAGTCAGGGTGCCCACAGCCAGCCGGAGTCACTCCCGGCGAGGAAGGGTCGCACTTCCTGCGGCACCCCCCACGCCAGTCCTCCAGGCCGGCTCCCCCCGGCCGGCCGCCCACCCCCCTCCCCAGCCGCCGGAAGCGCGCGGCCCCCTTCGGGTGAGGGCACCTTTCCGAATGCGCAGCTTTCGGCCGCCGGGGCGCCAGACGGGAGCTCCCGGGCCGCCGGCAGCTCTCCGAAAGGAAACCCGATCCCTCCTTCGGCCTGCGGGGAGCGAAGGCTGAGAAAGAAGCAGCCCGGGGGGTCGCGGGCGCGTGGGGCACCTGGCTGGAAGGTGAGCGCCTACCCTGCCGCCAGCCCGGCCCTGGGCCTGGAGAGGGATCCCCGCCGGCCCCTCAGCGTTCTGGCCCTGGGTTCAGGAGCGGGGGCGAGGGCGAGAGCGGCCCGCAGCGTGGCGGCCGCTTTCCCGCAGAGCGGCGGGGCAGGGTGGGGCGCAAGCGATGCAGAGCTGGAGGACTGGAACCGAAGGGGACGCCGAGGGCGCTGGCCGCAGCCGCAGGACCTGGGAGCGGTCGCCTCGAGGTGGCAGGGTGACGCGGGGCGGGCAGGGGGCTCCGGCTGGCTCACCTTCTCCTGCGCGCGGGTCAGCTTCTTCTGCACGTTGCTGGCGATCTTCCCCGCCGTCACCCCCTTGCTGCCCATCTCTGCCATCGTGGCGCTGGCCTCGCCCGGAGGCGGGCGCGGGTCTTGCGCGGGAGGCCGAGCGCGTCGCACTCCCAGCCCCCAGCCCCGCCGCCGTCCGGCTCGGGCTCAGGCTCCGGCTCGGGCTCGGGCTCGGGCTCCGGCTCCGGCTCCGGCTCCGGCTCCGGCTCCGACTCTGCACAGCGCACTGGGCCGCCCGGCACACTGCTGGGCGGAGCTAGCGCCCGCGGGCGGGGGCGACGCCGGTACGCACGTGGGCCGGGCCTCTGCGGGATCAGCGCCCCCTGCCCGCCCCCTTCGGACCAGACTCTGCCTTTTAAAGAGCCACACCGGCCCCGAGCCGCTCGGCCGGGGAGGAGGAGCAGCGCTCGACTGGCTGCAGCGTAGGGGACTCCCCAGCGCTCGGGCGACACCGCCTCGGGGCGGAGACTAGCTCGATGGTCCCTCTTCCAGGGCCGCCCAGACCCGGCGCTAGGTCCACCCTCCGAGCTGGCCCCTCCAGCGGCGCTTGAAAAGAGGCCAGGTGGAGGAGGAGGTGCTTTCAAAAGTCAGTTAAGGCTCAGCGGTGGCGCGAGGCCCTGGCCTCCAGCAGCCCCGAAAGTGACAGAGCTCGACCCCAGCGACGGCTCTTCCCGGGCGCCGCACCCACACCCCGGGCCCAGGGTTTCTTCTCCTCCCTGTCTGGGCGCACGGCGTCTCCAGGAGCCTTGGACAGATCTACACGTCTCTTTCCTGCGTGTCCAGCCTTTTGCCAGTAATAATTATATCAACGACCTAACACTGTTGCATGCGCCGTGTGCCTGGCACTGTGCTGTGGTCCGAGGGGCGTTGTCTTATGTAGTGTCGGGATAGCTTGTGAGCTAGCTATTATTATTCTCTCTTTACAGAAGTAGTCCTGGTGCAAGATTTCTGACTACATCCCAGGCCCTCCGCCGCTGTTCACCCGGTTGTTTCCAAAATCACACAGGAAGGAAAATAACTCAGGATCATTATTGGTGTAGAGAAAGTCATTGTTCACTAGCTTTTTTTCTTCGCTAGCTTTGCCAACACATGAATGACACATGAATAACACATCATAAATGACAGTCATCTGGTTCCCTGGAGCCCAAAGGGATACCAAAGTGGGGGGTAACCAAATCTCTCATGTTCGATGGCACAGTCTTTGCACATAAACTACACATACCTTCCAAGTGCCTTAAATCATCTCTAGGTGACTTACTACATGAAATGCTGCATGGATACTTACAATAAGGAAAACAGTCTGCTCATGTTCCGTGCAGAGAGCACTTTTCCCCCTGCATATTTTGATGCTGGAGTATGGAATCCACAGATAGAGGGCCGAATGTAACAAATGTGTGCCCTCTCATGATACCCACACCCCCGTCCCCTCAAACATCAGGGACGGTGAAGGGTGCCAGGAAGGTGCTGTCTGGAATGAAGGGCTGTGTCGGGGGACTAAGGGAACGTGTGGGACTGCACTGAGTGCTGTGCAGAGTCCCATCCAGCAGCACCTTCATGTCCCTCCCTGCAGTCAGAGAACCCTTGAGGACCTGGGATGGGGTCCTGAACACAGGAAGTTCTCAGGAGAGGGAGAGGGGCTCTGTAGACAGCACTGCCAGTCCCTCACGGGACCTGCGATGCCCAGGCCAGGAGAGGAGGACCAGCCTCCGGCCACACCCTCCAGGCTGCTGCGCTCGGTTTGCTGCTTCCTGGTTCCTCCGTGGGAGCTCCCTCCCCGCCTGCCTGTTACTGCTTCTGTTCTGTAGACCAACAGATTCCAGCTCACCGGTGTGTCACAGGTGAAAGTTGGATGACTAGCAGATGCCGAGCACCAGTCTACCCGGAAAAGCACCCGAGGCTGCCTGACTTCCTCATGCACCCCCATACCCAACCGAAACAGCCAGGATCCTCCAGAAAACTCGGCATGGTGTCACCCCACTGTCTCGATCCCCGTGCTCTCAAAACGAACACTTCCAGCCCTCCTCCAAGGAAAGGAGGAAAAGAACAGAAGTCGCACCTAGTGTAGTCAGCCCCCAGGGAGCGGTGGGTGCCTCTGTGCTGCTCTGATTTGGCGCTTCAAAATATCACTTGATAGAAAAATTGAAGCAACTGAAATGTTGGTCAGCAGAATAGCGACATCTCAGAGAGCACAGCAACCGGAGGGGCCGCTAGGGAGTCATCAGGAACAACCTCTCTGTGGAACAATATGAGAATAGTGCTTGCAGCAAAATTATGAATGGAAAAGGGATGGCAGAAAATTGTACTTGCACAATCCTTACTGCCACATCCAGATAAATACAAGCATCAGAGTCAAAGATTCAGAAGAGGGCGGGCCAGATAACTCAGCAGATTAAAGGGCCAGGAAGATGGCTCAGTAGAATAAGCAGTTGCCTGGCAAGCGCAAGGGCCTGAGTTCAATCCCGGTTCCTCCAAAAGAGAGACAGACAGACAGACAGACAGACAGACACTGGACATAGTGGTGCACGCCTGTAATCCAAGCACTTGGGAGGCTGAAAACAGGAGGATCTCTAAGTGTCAGATCTACCTAATGAGACCCTGAAGAATGATGAGTCAAGGAAGGAAGTGGACGGAGGCACTAGAGCCTCCTTTCCCCTTTGTTTCCCACCTACAGGCATGGCCACCACACCAGGTCTCGGTCGGTCGTGGCTCAGTGACCCTGGGGGTGGGGCCAGCACAGCATGTCCCTGCATTTGCCTAAGCAGGCGCTTTAGTCCGCTAAGCTATCTTGCTGGCCTCACAGCTCTGTTTTTAAAGAAAGTATTTGTTTACCTGATCTCTTAGTTCAGAAAGCCCTTCCTCAAAGCCAAAGCAGTGGAGGATATATTTTGAAAATCATAGTTTTTTTATTAGTAGTAGTACATTTTTGTAGTACTAATGACAATTAGAGTTGGGAGTTGGTAAGTATACATACAAGTCTTTATTCTTTTTTCCCCTTGTTTTGGATTCTCACCCTTCCTCCCCTCCCGCAGTGCTCCTTCCAACCCCTGGTCCCCCTCCCATTTGCAGAAGCTAATTTTCATCATCTTTCCTCAGACTGTTTCCCTCCCATCAACTGATGGTCAATTTGTGACACCCAGTGAACTGAGCCAGCGTGGCGCTGGGTGTGGAGACCCACCCGGAGACTGCTGCCAACAGCATGAATAGGAGAACCGGGGAGGAAGGTGGGAGCTCTTGGTTTCCTGGAGGAGCTTGTCCTGCTGGCTTTCCTGATATGAACTCGCTGTTCTCATCAAAGGAACTCAGGACCTTGTTAAAGCTGAGAACGGCTCCTGCTCGCTCGGGGGGAGCTCTCGTCTCACTTTGGGCTCCTCTTCCTGGCTCTGGACAGGATGATGGTGCACTGTTCAGTGTCCTGGAGAAGCTTGCTGCCCTAGATTTCCTGATAGACTCAGTTGTTCTCATCCTCGGAGGAGTTCAGGACCTCACTGTGGCTGAGGATGGCTGTGATACTTTTTAGAAGAACTCTGGTTCTTACTTTGAGCATTATTTCCTGGCTCCAGTTCAGATCCCTCAGCCTTCTCTCCCCCAATAAATATTCTGCTCTTAACCTCAAAAAAAAAAAAAGGAAAATATTTTTAAGTTCATAAAAAATTAAGATCCCAACATATAAATAAATAGGCAAATAGAACAAACAGGCAGTTCATGAAATTGGATATTCATATAACCAAGAAGTTTTTAAAGTTTATTCTTTACCACTAATTGAATAAAATACTATTCCAGTCTCCACTTCCATTCATAAATTCTTTTTTTAAATTATATTAGGATGACTCAAGAATTAGAAACTCTAGAGCCAGGAGTATAGCTCAGCAGCATAAGCTCCTACCTGGCAAGCACAAGGTCCTGAGTTCAATTCCTAGTACGAAAAAAAAAAAAAAAGAATTAGAAACACTAGCATAGTACTGCTGAGAGTGTAAGTAGACACAAAATTTTGGCACAGACATTACGCATTAGAACAATAGTCACTGCAGGGCATGGTGGTGCATGCCTGTAATCCCAGCACTCAGGGCTGATTGCAAGCTCGAGACCAGCCTGGGCTGCAAAGTGAGTTCAAGACCAGCCTGAACTGCATAGCAACACCCTGACTCAAAAATACGAAAGAAAAGAACAATCACCAAGAGAGCCACTCTGCTTGGCTGCATAATCTCAAGTTTAAGACCTTGAGACTAAAATTTCAGCCACGTTTGGAGCACACAGATGCCCGTCACATCATTTAGAACAGCATAAATATAAAAAATGTCCTAACTATTACCATCTGAATGCTGGTGATTAATGAAGCTATGGTATGAGCAAACATGAAATGTTTGCCAACGCAGTAATGCTTTTAAAGTCGTAGGTGACAAAAATATATTGGCAATAGACTAATGCGGGGCATTACATTGTGCAGGGTGCCATGCTGTCTACCAGCCAGCGTGGGCTTGGTATCTCTGAGGAGACCAATTACGCTTTCCTTTTCCTGTTTTATTTTTATTTTCCCGATTTTGTATATGTTGTTTTTGTCATCCAACATGCCATTAAAAATACAAAATGAGGGGGCTGGTGAGATGGCTCAGTGGTCTAAAGCACCTACTTAGAACAAGCTTAGCAAAGCACAGGGACC